CAGTCGAATCCATTACATTCACTTACGTGCTAATACCCTTGGGAAAGGTATAAATCCTCTTCTTTTACCCCCAGCTGTGGGTAAATAGCAGGACAGACCGGATTCTATAGCCTTGGATGGCAACTGGTCTAGCACAGAAAGAAATGGCAACCTACTGCGGGGAAAAATCTGCCTCGTCAGTCATGTATCGAGAAATACGTGATCGCCTAAGCGTGTATTACGTATGGCACATAACTGACTGACTGTATTAACAGAGGACGGAAAATGTGACACCGAAATCCGAGTGTGTATTGGGATAGCTAAAGACGCATTCCAAAAAGTATGAAGAAACTGGGAAATTTTGTTAGAAACAAAGGAAAGTGTCGAACTTATATGGCTGTGAACGATGGACCAAAAAGAAGATAATGAAGAAACTTCAAGCAACAGAAATGTGGGAAGGCAGAAGCAGCAAAGAAATCTTGAGGAAAAATGGAAACAAAAAGGTTACTTATACTTAGAATCAAAAGATGACAACTGAAATTTTTTGGACGCATAATTAGGAAGAAGAACTTGGAGAATTTGACACTTACAGGACACATCGAAAACATATGGCAAAGGTAGCGAGTCACCAACATGAATAGCTTATATAAATAGATGGCGGAACCGGGGTTTGGAGAGATGGCACAGGTATAAAAATTACTTAGAGCTGTGGAATGCCATAATTGTCCGTGTCCTGAAGGGAGACGGAGCATAGAAAAAAGGTATTAAAAAACTTACCCAAATTTTCATACTAAATCAAGGGTTTTGGTATTTAAAAATGTAACCTGCCTCATATTTTTATACTAAAGGGTTTTAGTATTTAAAAGTATACCCGTCTTATGTTTTCCTTCTAAAGGGTCTTGGTATTTAAAAATTTGCCCCACTTCATATTTTCATGCTAAAGGGTTTTTTGTATTTCAAAATATACCATAACTTATATTTTAATACTAAAGGATGTTAGTATTTAACAATTTAGCTCGCCTCATATTTTCACGCTAAATGGTTTGGGCATTTAAAATTTACCCAGATTCTATTGGTATTTAAAAATTAACCCCGGTTCATATTTTCATACGAACGAATCTTGTTATTTAAAAGTTTGCCCGACTTCATATTTTCATAAAATTTTTTGTATTCAAAAATTTAACACGCCTCATATTTTTATACTAAAATGTTTTATTTTTAAAAAAAAATTAATCCACCACATATTTCCTAATAAACCTTTTTGGTATTTAAAATTTACCCCGTCTCATATTTTTATACTGAAGATTAAAACCCATGAGTTAGTATGTAACTACTAGGTCGGCGATTTATATATATATATATATACAGAGCGTCCATAAAGTTCGTGTGCACTTTAAAAAACTATAACTTTATTTGTATTTGCGATAGAAATAATTTGTAAAAAGGATGAGAAAGAAGTAAATTTATATTTTTTTAAGGTTTTATTAACATTTTATTTAAGTTTCCACATGTCCTCCATCATTAGCAATACAAAGGGTAATACGATTTTGCAGTTCACGGAAAACATTTGCCAACTGATTTACAGTAATGCCTGAAATCACATTAGTTATTTTAGCTATACTTAAAACTAGGTACATTAAACTTTATAAATTTTTTTACAGATTATTTCTATCGCAAATACAAATAAAGTTATAATTTTTTAAGTGCACATTAACTTTATGGACACCCTGTATATATATGATAAAGAAGAAAACCTTAAATATTCATTTCGATTATAATTTATTTCGGGAATATCGAAATATTCATCTCTTCAGGTCGAAATCTCCTCAGTAAAAAAAAATCGTTTGACATGGTTCTTGTGAGGTCCACTTCACTTAGCTGATATTCACCGGGACAATAAGTGTTTGAAACAATTTCTGTAACATCTTTCAGGTGTTTCCATTTAAGAAGACATCGGCTGACACTGATATCGCTACACAACGTTGACCTTCCAAAATTTAAATGCAATGTCAACCGTCATCTTCTGTCTTCTTAATTTCTTTTGTTTTATCTCTCCGTAATAGTGTTTTTTGTTTGTTTTTTTCCTCAAATTCTGTAACACTCAGTAAGCCCCTTGCGTCTTGGTGGCTTTACTGCCTTGCTTGGACTGAAATGATTAAAAGGTACCTTTAAGATAAATGTTACAGAAGTTCAGGGACGCCATTTATTATTGGTATACGCCATCGATTAAGGATAATTCAGTTGTACTGAATTTACAAAACGTTTCTAGGTTTATTTTGGGTTCAAATCCTACCAATGCCTTTTGTTCATAAGCATTTTATAAGTTCTGATTTCAATCTGGTCAATTAATATTCCATATTTTTTTAATTTTAATATTTTTACTCCTTGACTTTGAAAAGAATTAAGGGTGCGGTTGTTGATTCTAATGAGTCATTCTTCATTTAATCTTAAGGAACGTCAGATTCTTGGAGAAAAAAAATGGTAAATTTATTTGTCAAGAACATGATCAGCTTTATTTGGCAATGAAACTATTTGAAACTATTTCTTTTGTTCCTTGTTGAAATAATCTGAAATTCTTACATTCATCGTCTGTTGCTGAGTGATTTCACAGTGGAGGCTTGTATTCGTACTAAGTCGATCCTAAAATAGGTTCGACGTATAAAACGTTAGGAACTTGATATAATAAGTATAATGCAGAGAAATCTAGCTGTAGTCGCTGATACTTTAGTATCCGACTAACGGTCGTCCGGCATCGACTGACTGACCGATCCCACTCAGCGACTCAATCGTTACTATTACTACTCCTACTTATTATAGGTGGGAGAGTCTATTAACTATAGAATAGGTGTGTTCCACTATAACATCGTCATATAAAACAGCTAGAAAAATTTCAAAAAAGGCTATACCAAAATGATTCCCGAAATAAAAAAAAACAGGCCTTTCCCTGTGTTTTGTAGAAAGACTTACTAACCTTCTCTACACCTATTATTTGGACTCGTCCATCCGCGATAAATAGGACGCCTACTGTAGAGGACCATGTTGGCGATGTTGAGTATAAGTAGATGAACACACATGAGTTAAGATTTTCCTGCTAGCCGGTCCAACTACATGAGAAAGTTGGACTTTAATTAAGTCCAAAGAAGACAAGGAAAAACAAACACAAAACCGATAAATATATGTAAACAAATATAGGTATTAATAACAAGAAAGGTTACCAGTTACATGGACAGTTACATGGACAGAGTGCGTGTGGTGAATATTATGTGTGTGTGTTGTGGTGAGTGTTCGTACGTCCGTGTATTGTTCTTAGCGTGTTCCCAGCATTTGGGAAACGCTGTATCTGTGAGCGTTCACATCTGCGAGGTGGTAAGGCTGAAAGCCTGAGGCAAAAAGAGATTTACCTCAAGGTGGCGACCCAAAGGCCTGAGGGGAAAAAGAGGTCGAGGCGAAGGGTCAGCGAGTATTTATAGCCAGGGAAGAGAGACCCCTGGTGAAAGGGTTAAGGAGCTAAGGAGGAGCTAACTCCGACACTACTCATGAAAAAATGGCAAGAAGTGGGTCGCAAAGGCGTGGCGCTTTTCAGTCGTATGCTTGCCGCACGGGACTATAGAGTCTCCCTAAAGTCTGGACACATTGGCAAAAATGCATATTTTTAAAGAAATTAAATTTTCAACAACATTATATTGAATTGGCATATTAATAAATAACATCTTTAATATGATTTCCCTCATCTGTGATTCAAGGGTTGATGTGCTTCACGTGAACTCGATGCAATAACTATCCATTGCCGTCGCTCTTTATGCGTTCAATCAAGTGTGTTGCATCTGTGATTTTCATTGAGTACACTTTTCCCTTTAGAAACCCCAGAAAAAGAACTCAATTCTATTTTTCTTTCAGCAATACCATTTTAATCTGCGGAGGTAATATATATATATATATATATATATATATATATATATATATATATATATAATATAAAATTTTTGTCACTTAGCTTTTGGTGTTTACCTTACCTTTACGTCATATCTTATAGATTATATATATATATCTAAAGATTATAACTTTACTATATATAATCTTATAGATTATATATATCTCTAAAGATTATAACTTTACTATATATAATCTTATAGATTATATATATCTCTAAAGATTATAACTTTACTATATTGTTTGTCATAATATTATACAGGATGTCCCTAAAATCTGGGCACAAAAATGGATATTTTTAAGAAATTTAATTTTCAACAACATTTTATTGAATTGGAATATTAACAAATAACATTTTCAATATGATTTTCATCATTTGTGATACAAAGGTTGATGCCCTTTGCAAGACACAAGTGAATTCGATGCAGTAACTCCACATTGCCGTCAATTTTAGCACATTCGCTCTTTATGTGTTCAATCAAGTGTGTTGCATCTGCGATTTTCATTGAGTACACCTTCTCCTTTAGCGTACCCCAGAAAAAAAGAAGTCAGTTCTTTCTTCTTTCGACAAAAGCAGTGTTTAATCCGTTGGGGTAAAAATTTATAGTTAATGAGATTTCCTATGTGTTCAGACTTTCGTGACACCCTGTACTGTATTCTCAATCTATGTTCTCATGTGACCAAATTCTCCTACATCAAACCTTTTGTTCCCAATGTTTTCCTTACAGTCTTACTAACCAACAACTATGAGTGCTAGATGAATGCTATAACACCTTGATAAACTTAAAGATTTTGGTCTTTTCTCAATTGATTTGTTTGACTGATTCGTTTTCTACGAATTATCAACCTTTTGCACGTTATTTAAAGCCATAAATTTTCTAGATTTAAGTTACTTTTTTTTTTAAATAATAAAGGTTTAGTGAAACAAGTCTTACTAATTAACCCATAGCTGAGGGAGAAGAGATGGATTCAGACGTTTTCCCAAAGATATTTGCGCGTAAGTGAGTAGAACGAACCTAACTGAAATTAGAACTCAGCTCCCCGATTAACAATTCCGAGCCATTATTCATTACACCACTCGCACATCCAAGCTTACAACACCTGGTATTCGCAAGCGGTCACCCATCAAGTTACTGACCAGGCTCGACGTTGCTTAATTTCGGTGATCGTACGAGAATCAGCTTTTCAACGTGATATGCCAGTAAGCACATTACACCACTCGCGCACACCCAAGCTTACAGCACCTGGTATTCCCAAGCGGTCACCCATCTAGGTACTGGCCAGTCTCAATGTTGCTTAACTTCGGTGATCGTGTGGGAACCGGTATTTCAACGTGATGTTGCCGTAAGCCGTTCTCACTTGAAACTACACGCGTAAGACATGATTTAATGCAGGTATTTGTTTTAATCATTTCACCCCAAGCAAGGCGATAATGCCACTAAGACACGGGGGGGGGGCTACAGGGAGTGAAAGAGAAGCGAGGAAAGAACAATAAAGGAAGGTGGTCTAGGAAGACAGGATATAGCGATTGACGTTGCATTTAAATTTTTTAAGATTGAGGCGCCAAAAAACCAAGAAATCGGAAGGAAGTTCCACAGATGAGAAGTGCGCGAAAGGAAACTATTAGAACAAAACAGACGATTCATCTAACTAAGTCAACAGTAAAACAGTGAGACATATTTGCCAATCTATTAGCACACTTAAATCTGTGCAGTCGAGACAATAAGTAAAGAAGCTCCTCAGAATAATTGTCATGAAAATATTTGTAGAAAAGAGAAAACGAAGCCACGTCAGGTCGGTGAGAAAGTTGAGATGCCAGGTCAGGATCGATTACATTGCAGATCCTTTTTTGGATTTTGTCAAGAATCTCTAGATGTACAGCAGTAGTACCAGACCAGATATGGTAACAGTATTCAATGAACGGTCGAATGGTAGATTTGTAAATAAGTTCACTTTAATAAATAATTAATATTCAATATTTAATGTGAGGCAACATTTTCGTTTTACGATAGAGACTCATATTTATTAGGCAGTGTGTCGTCCGTATAGATTAAAGAATAGAGACTCATAATTATTAGGCAGCGTGTCCGTATAGATTAAAGAATAGAGACTCATAATTATTAGGCAGCGTGTCCGTATAGATTAAAGAATAGAGACTCATAATTATTAGGCAGCGTGTCCGTATAGATTAAAGAATAGAGACTCATAATTATTAGGCAGCGTGTCCGTATAGATTAAAGAATAGAGACTCATAATTATTAGGCAGCGTGTCCGTATAGATTAAAGAACACTGCAATATCCATTGGGGTAATAATGATCTACAAGACTAGCTTGCTAGTCATTGTCTCACGGCATTACTATGTATAAGGTTGAAACGAAAATCCAATCGTCTTTGAAGATAGAAAGTTGATATGCCAAATCAGGATCGATTACATTACAGACCCTTCTTTGGATTTCGTCACGAATTTCGAGATGTACAGTAAGAACACCAGACCAGATGTGGCAGGAGCATTCAATGCACGGACAACTGGTAGATTTATAAATGTGCAACGTGGATTCTGACGAGAAAATTACCTGGCACGACACAGTGAACCGTCTTTCCTAACAGTAGACCTAGCAACCTATTCAGTATAATCACTCCACTTCATGTCAGTGAAAAATGTGACCCCGAGGAGATGCAAAAAGTGTTGCTCTCCTGGAGTGTAGCATCAGCCATTCTGATGGCAGGCAGAAAAGGTTCACTGTAGTGATTAAATGAAAGCAGATTTGTTTTGGAGAAATTTACAAACTATTCTTTGCTCCTGTTAACCACTGATTGAAAGTCCCTTTCGAAAACAGTTACCAGTTTTACTTTATTGACATCCTACTAAAACAGGAGTAAATAGTTATGTTATCTGTATTATTACATAAAGCATTGTCAACCATCATTCAATTTTGAATCGTAACTATTTCACCTTAATTTTACTTGTGTTTTATTACATTCTTCTGTTTTATTACATTCTTCTTCTAGGACGTTGGCGGTCATGGCTTTCTTGAGCCAATCTTACTCTATGGCTCTGAAACTTGGACTCTCTCAGCAAAACAACAGCGCCGTTTAGATGGATGTTATACACGTCTTTTAAGAAGAGTGCTTAATCTTTCATGGCGAAACCGCCCAACTCTAGAAATGATATATGGAGACTTGCCGAGAGTATCAACCTTAGTTTGCAAAAGACGTGTCCAGTTCGCCGGGCATTGTGCACGTGCCACAGATGAACTTGTGTCATCATTTGTACTCTGGAGGCACCCATCATCTGTCAATCGATCACGCAAGTTAACCTTTCCAGATAGGATAAAACGAGACACATTGATCCCCAAGGAAGATCTTTTAGGAGCTATGACGGATAGGGAATACTGGAGAGGTGTAGTGAGTTCAATCTCGGCTGAGGCCGCAGGATGATGATGATGATGGCTTTCCACAATTTCCTGTTCTTTATAGTTTTTAGTAAATTTTGTCTTTTTGTTATCTCTCCTAAGCCTTGTTTATGTAATAATAATAAAATTAAAGATAATATTACTACTAATACTACTTCTTCTTCATGTGGCGTTTCCCCTCAGGACGTTGGAAATTATGACTCTTCACGACTTCCTGTCGTTTGTAGCTCTTAATAAATGTTGTACTAATAATAGTAATATTAACTTGAATTTTATCATTATTACATAAAGCATTGTCAGCTATTATCCATTTTTACTCGGATTTCTTCCATTTTAATTTCACTTGCTTTTTATTACATTAATAATATTAGTAATATTATCTTTGTTGCCATATTTATTACAACGTTTCGGCCGTTGTACGCTCCAGCCTTCTTCAGGTGGTTGGAATGTCGAACTGAACCCTTTATTTCGCTCACTGGGGTAGACTGTCCTAGTTCTACATGCCATGTTTAATGGATGTCAGTTATCAGTTATCTCCAGTTAATTTTCCCTCTCCAAGTTTTCCACTCCCTTAACCAGGTATTGAACTCATACTCTTTGGGTCCTGTCACTGAGGACACATGGCACAGTGGATAAAGGCGTTGGTTAGATCCATTGACAGGACCCAAAGAGTGTGAGTTCAATACCCGGTTAAGGCAGTGGAGAATTTGGAGAGGTAAATTAACAGGAGATAACTGATAACTGACAGCCATTAAAATATGGCACGTGGAACTAGAACAGTCTACCCCAGTGAGCGAAACAAAGGGTTCAGTTCAACATTCCAACCACCTGAAGAAGGCCGGAGCGTACTACGGCCGAAACGTTGTAATAAATATGGCGACAAAGACGAGGACAATAGTCCGAATAATGTAAATAATGTACATAATACTTCATCTCAGAAATATAGACAGATACTAGATTAAACATTGTCAACCATTATTCATTTTTGACTAGGATTTCTTCTATCTTAATTTCACTTGCTTTTTATTACATTAGTAGTAGTATTAGTAATTAGTAAATTAGTAAATTAGATTTTATTATTATTAGATGAAAAATTGTCAAATCTACTGTCCTCCTGATTACTCTTCCTTTGTTCTCGCTCCTTGGCAATGTTCCTGTTTTTAAGTCTTCAACGGCCAGTAACCCCTTGTCTCTCAGCGGCTTTACTGCCTTGCATGGGGTGGACTCTATTAAAAAATTAAAAAAATTATCATCTATTTTACATTCGCAGTTATTTTATCTTAACCTTTTAGGGTCCATTGTTCCAGTAGCTGAATATATTTTAAGACATTTTTTGTACCAGTCGAGCATTATTTTTTATTATTTAATTTTTATCAATAATATACACGAAAAAGACTAAAATACAATATGTGTTTACACATCCTGTTAAAATACAATCTATAACTTATTAATTTGTGCTAAAATTTGGTTGAAACTAACATTTGCAAACATGTCTGAGCACTAAAAGATTAATTCCTCTTGCTTTTTATTACATCCGTAGCATTCGTAATATTATCTTGAATGTCATTAATATTAGATTAAGCATTGTCAACCATTATTAATTTTTGACTAGTATTGCTTTCATTTTAATTTCACTTGCTTTTAATATCAGCTATTCAAACTGTTAATCTATGAAAGTCAGTAAGCAGCAAAAATAAACAATTAGCGTTTCGCAAAATTTGAACTCGCATCTTCTTCCTCGAGAAGTTTTGTTAACCGCATGCTATGCCGGTTGAGCTACAGATGCATATGACTGACGAAGATCAGATCTAACTAGTGTTACTCTTTATTTTTCCCCGATCGCTCAGTACTATATTGATACCGTTTACGGAATATGAGCTGCAAGGAAACTTATAGTTGCAACTAGAAAGATACAGTTGAAATTTATTAAATGCATAACTAGGAAAGAGAGACTGCAGAATTGAAGCCTCGCGCGACGTATTCAAAGCAAGAAAGGTAAGACGAAATAGCGAGTAATTTAATAAGTTTTCGTAAATGGATGATATAATATGGATGGTTAAGATTCAAAGATTACTTTTTTTTTACAGTAAGGTTCGCCCTTTATATAACCAGGGGGGGGGGGGCACTCGAGGTTGAGGGTTACGTTTGGAGGCCTTTTGTGTGTATAGGAGTGGACGATAACGGTTAACCCTCGCCTTGATCGGGTTAAGATTTTAGTGATCGTGGAAATATCCTCTTGGGAGTCGGTCCCACAGAGCAGTGGTTCGAAAGGAGAAGCTGTTCAAGTAGGACTTACTTCTCATCGATGGAAGAGGGAGGGAATCCCCATGAATAAAAAAGCAGGAAGTTGTGAAGAGCAAGGATCGCCCACATCCTCAAAGGAAATGTCACATAAAAGAAGATTAAAGTGCGTTCTTGACAAGTAGATTTAATTCATTCTTACATTTCAAAGAGTCAAAAATTCCACCTCCAAAAGTGCATTTCTAACCTAATATTTTCATTGCGGTCATTTTATGAAAAAAAAATGGCTGACATCTCGATCGGCAGCCATTGAATACATTACAGACGAGGAAATCTCAATATATTTTGACAAGAAAAAAGAACCATAAAAACGCATAGCTACATATTTTTAACGCGAATAATCTTAATAGAAATATGCTTTATAATATGACTGCCTTTGAACTACATAATAAAATCCACAATCGTGCCCGACCTGTGAATATTATTAACTTCAAGTCCGGTTTCATTTCGGCAACAATCGTCATTGCAATATTAAAAGTCTTCTTTTTTTTATCTTAAAAGCAATAAAAAAAAATAGCCAAGCAATTTCCTTTTATAATTAATTATTTGCTACAATTTTATTTTTCTGTCATGCACGATGCATATCCCTAACTATTTTTTTCTTTTTGCACGCTCGTACAGAGACATGACTA